TAATTATTCCTCACCAGCACCATCTCTCCGTTCGCCAGGAAGGCGGTACCAGGAATTGTCAGAGCCCTGGTCTGTGTAGGGGCACAAGATTCACAGCATGTGATGGGGAAGCTCCTTTGCTCGTGCAGAGACTTGTTCTTGCTTGGCCTGGGTATGCTCCCACCTGAGATGGTTCTGTGCCTCCCTGCTGCAGCTTTGCACTGCTGCAGGAACTGTGGCCTCTTGAGGCTGCCTCTCCATTCACCAGACAACAAAACAATTCATGCAACATGGCTAAAGAATGCTTTTCAGGGGTTATCTGTAAGAAATTTTCCTTGGGTCTCTGTCATATTTGGAACAGACATGAAGTACATCCTGTGTGTAATGAAGCAGGGTTTTGGCAATACTGTGTTTTAACCCTGGCTCGTAGAAAACACCACAACAGCCGCTCCTCACCCTTCACCCGGGGATGGGGAGAGAGTTAAAGGGGTAAAGGGAAAAGAGACTCGTGGGTTGAGATAAGAACCATTTAATAACTAAGCCACACTAAAACTGAAAATAATAATGATAACAGTAATAGTGATATATGCAAATGAGTGACACACAGTGACACTGCTCACCACGTGTGACCAAGGATCAGCCCGTTCCTGGCTAATGATCCTGGAGCAGGGAGAGTCCCGACATCACAATCCCGGAACAGAGATAGGAGAGAGAGAGCCCTTCCAGACAGACCCTTATCTCTCCCCTGGCCATGCCGGGCATGGGATGGAACAGACCATCGGCCAGTTTGGTCTCAATCCTAAAGCCAAGGTCAAATCCTGGGCTGGTCAGTGGGGCTGTGCTCCCTCCCCGCTCCTCCTGCCCCTGCAGACACGGGCACAGCAGAGAAGCTGGAAAGCCCTTGACTGTGCTGGCAGCAGCTCTGCCCATCAGTGTGTGATCAGCTTCTCCCCAGCACAAACCCCAACAGCCTCACACCAGCTGCTGGGAAGAGAGTTCACTCTGTCCCATCCGAAGCAGGACAGGCAAGCTCGTTAGTCACAGCGGGCAGGAGGAGGATACGCATTGCTGGTGCACTTCGTTTATTGCGAGCATCTCTCAGAACTAGTGCTACCAGGCACTGCACACTCCTGGCTGCTACCTGCACAAGCCAGAACAAAAAGCACAAGAGAAGCGACTTGCAGTCCAGCTGATCTAACGCAGGCTTTTCCTTTCGGTGACTTTTATTACCCAGAGCAGGAATTAAGCTGTGCAATATGTGTGGGAAACAGCCCAAGCCTTTTCACGGCTGTTAGTTTTGGTATCTAAGGTATTCTATCTGCGGTATAGAAATGTGTGATTTCCTCTTGCGTGAAAAACCAGCTGGGTCATGCTGGAACTTGAACAGATAGCTTCTTCCTCCTTCAGCTGCTTAGAGAGCAGTCCCGTTAATGATGGAACCAAGACAGCCAGAAGCTGAGGATTTAACAAGCTGACCGCCTGCTGCAAACCCCCTCACTGAGCTCTGCCTGCTGCGAACTCACTGCACTGGTTCCTCTTACTGGTGGAACGGGTTAGGTGCAACTGGACCAACCAGGCTTGTTCCAAGGCTTGTGTCCTCTTATAATAAGATCTATCTCAATAGACATATTGAACCTAAAGATCTATCTGCCGTGAACATATTCTTGATAATATAATACTTTTAATACTTCTTGATAATAATACTTTTCAGCTGAGTTATTCCGTTCTGTGTGGGAATCTCTGCACAGTGGAGACATTGGGCTTTAATATTTACACCTTGCTTTAATCTGCATGAATATTCTAGGGAAGATGAGTGGGAAGGAACCCTCAAAGCTCTTCCTGAAGGGTGAACGCAGTGAAAGATAACTCTCCTCCAAATCGCTGGAGGAACCAGGGAAGCCTGGGAGCCATTATGGGATGCAGCGGTGCAATGGGAGCATGCCATCGCGCTCCAGCCGCTCGGAGAGCAGGAGGAGCAGGGTTCTTTGACATTATCTTGGACCCTGACAGCCTGGGCTTGCTCTGGATGCTGCTACAGATCTAACGCCTCTTGGATGGCCCCGGAGGCCTGTCTTGGAGCTCCAGGCTGTGCAGCTCTAAGACCCATTTCCAACAGCTTGTCTGTCCCTCAGCCCTGGCTGTGGAGCATGATTTGAGGGGAACACAGAGTGGGATCTGCCAGGAAGAACATCACCGCTTGCTGCTGTGGGGCCTCTGCAAGGTCACCCCTGACCAGCCCGGTAATGTCAGTGTGACGATCTTTACACTGTGCCGCATCTTTTGTCTTGTCAAGAGGCTGAGAGTGGAATTTGCTTTAACCGGGGCTGGACGGAACAGGAGCTGAGTCCTTCACGGGAATAAGCCTTACAACCAGTCCGTTGCCTGCAAACAGAACGAGGGAGGAGTGTGGATAAGTGCAGGCAAGTGTTGCCCTGTTTTCCACCAAAGCTCTGTTAGCTCTTGCGGAACAGGTCTCTGCCTAATTCCCACTTCATATGTGACCCGAGGCCAGTGCCCACTGCTTTCTGCAGCCTCTCCTTCGCTGGTGAAGAACTTTATGCCCTGATCAGATGTTCTCCATGGGAAGCAGTAGGAAGCTGCAAATAGGTCCTTCAACATTGCCTTTGGGATCCAGCAGCGATCGTGGCAATGACTGAGACTTGCTCCCTACACAGTTCTCCTGGAAAGCCAGCCAGGCTCCTCTAGATTTATCCTCATGCTGATGGTCTCCAGCAAGGCTCCTCTAGATTTATCCCCATGCTGATGGTCTCCAGACTGCATGTTCGCATCGACACCTCACTCATGAACACCCCTTAGGAGGAGTTCCCTGTGAGTGTGCGCAGAGGGGCTGGGTTAAATGGATGTGGAGTGACACACGGACAGAAGTCACCTTGAAGGGAACGGCACTGAATCTGCCCTGCGTGTGCCCAGCACAGGGCAGTGGTGCCAGGCATTCATAGCTGTGACAGGGACAAACAGCAGGACCATGGCCAGTGTTAGGAGAAATAACTGGTCCCCAAGGAGCTCCTGGGCTTGCAAAGTGCTTGTTTGCTCCAGCAAGATGGATTCTTTAAAAAACCTTAAATTTAACCAGTGTAATTTCCTCACTGGCAGCAGCAAAAAGGCAGTAATAGTCATAAACCCTCAGCATTCTTTTTCAAGTGTCTTTTTTAACAAGGGTTAATCAACAGTGAAATTAACAGGCCCCTGGAGGGAGCTACCAGCAGCCCAGGCTGACTCACAGGCTGAAATTTATGGCAGCAAGGAACTGCTCTGCATTTCCTCCCGCACGCGGAAAGGAACACTAACAGAAGATGTT